ATCCGAACTGCAGCAGGCGCGCGCTGGCTACTGTGGGCGATTATACGGAGACTGTGCAGCTATTGAAGAATGCTGCGTCGAGGGGAGACACGCGCGCGTTGCGCAAAATCACCGTGCAGACGGGCATTACATATGAACCCAGAAGCCTTCTCTTCGACGATGGAATGCGAGCGGTTGCGCAGGTGCCAGACACCATCTTTTGGGGCAGCCAGCGCGCTTACTTTGCATCTGGCGGTTTGGCGCAGTACCAGTGCAACCAGATAGTGCGCCACATTGTTGCTAGAGGTGCACCCCTGGAGAGCATCGACGAGTTTGCGCAGAGCATTCGGCCCCCGAGAAACACCCCAAAGCTCATGAAGTGTTTCTTCCAGAAGCGGATCCAGCTTGGGGGCGGCACAAAAAATGAAGGTATTCGCAAGCGAGGTTATTTCTGTGATTTTGATCATCGGTTTCTTTTGCGATGCAATCATCAAGCCGCAGGGCGTGCTGAGCCAGCGCACTCGGTGTTTCGATGTGTTGCGAACGGTGACAGACATCATCCTCCTGGGCGATAGTGCTCTTGAGCATTTTGCACTGTTGCAGAGGGCGCAGCGCGAGCATATGTTCCTGTACCATGAATTGTACCGCGCATGTGTGAAAACCAAAATGCACACATCTTGGCACGTGCCCCTTTGCATATTACGCTTTGGCGTCAATTTGACATGCTTTGCGCCAGAGAGGAAACATCGAAACAGCAAGTCTGTCGCATCCTTCACATACAAGAACATTGACAAGGCCCTTCTTGCCAGAGAGGTGCACGATTTTGTCAAGGGCATTTGTGACGCGTCTGTATTCCAAGCGGTGTTTTTGTGCATTCCGATTCAGGAGTCTACAAATCTCGGCGATGTGTTTCGATTTGTTGGCACGGCACCCCGTGTCGTTCTCGCCTTCGATGTCGACGGGCCACGGACGCCTTCATAAGCGCGACGTGCTTCTGTGGCGGGATGCCGCGGGAATCTGCGCTGGTAGGGCCCTGGTGTTTATTTGCGTAGTCAGTGGCTCCAATGCCATGCACGCGGCGTTTGCGATGCAATTCCAGCACGTTGCAGGGTCTGTGTATTCGGACGCCACTGTTGCGCCGATATTAGTGGACGCTCGCTCTTTGCTGAAAGCTGTCAGCTTCCAACAAGATGGGCATACATACACGTTGTTGTGCCCAGTGGTGCTGTGACGTGACATCGAGCGGCGTGACAGCAGCTACAGAAAATCATAATCATCATCAGCATCAGCATCATCATCAGCATCAGCATCATCATCACCATCACCATCACCATCAAAACCGTAACCACCATCACGCCCTCCATTCCCCTCCCCCCCTCCATCCCTCTTACCGACCCTCCCCCTCCTATCACCTCGTCCCTTCCCCCCCCCCCCCCCCAACCCCCTCCCCCATCATAACCTTTCATAACATTCCGGTAACTTTTCACAACGTGTCATGACTTATTTAGTGGTTTCCCAACTACCCCATAACGTTTTCATAACATATCTATGTCGGTATAGCTCGTTATAACGCGTACGTAACCTTATAACGCAGAGAATTTGGAAGCGGCGTTCTCACCTGGGACCACCCTCCCCCACCACAGGCGGGACTTCCCCCGGGACCCCCCTCCAGGACTCCTCCCGCAGGGGGGACCTCCTCACCTGTCCTCCCTGTCCACAGGGGTGACCAGGCAGAGGGGGGCCGCCGCGACCCCGGGGGGGGCGGTAATCTGACGCAGGACCCACCCGTATCCCCCCCCGTACCTTCCCCCCCCCGTCAGGGAGGGGAGGGAATCGACTTAACTACGACGTTTTTTTTCCCAATCCTCCTGAGTTGGGCTTTCTTTTTGCGTAGAGCACTGTGGTCGAGTCCCTTCCCTCCTCCTCCCTCCTGCCTCCTGCCTCCTACTTTCTGCCTCCTGTCTCCTCTTCCTTCTCTTCCTCCCTTCTCTCCTTCGTCCTGCTTGCGTTGCAGCCCCGTTGTGACTCTGCCTCGCGGCTCCCTGGAGGGCTGCGAGGTGTCAAGCTGTCGCCAGTTTCGTGGGCTCCTGGGAGGCTCAGCGGAGAGGAGTTGTAAACGCACTCAACCGAGACCTCGCGGCTCCCCTGGGTGGCTGCGAAGTGCGAAATTGTCGTCACTTTCGTGGGTTCTTGGAGTTGTATCCGCACTCAACCGAGACCTCGCGGCTCCCCTGGGTGGCTGCGAAATGCGCAACTGTCGCCACTTTCGTGGGCTCCTGGGAGGCCCAGCGGAGTGGAATTGTAAGCACCCAGTCGAGACCCCGCGGCTCCCTGGGCGGCTGCGAAGTGCGCAACTGTCGCCACTTTCATGGGCTCCTGGGAGGCCCAGCGGAGTGGAGTTATAAACGCACCCAGTCGAGACCCCGCGGCTCCCTGGGCGGCTGCGAAGTGCGCAACTGTCGCCACTTTCATGGGCTCCTGGGAGGCCCAGCGGAGTGGAGTTATAAACGCACCCAGTCGAGACCCCGCGGCTCCCTGGGCGGCTGCGAAGTGCGCAACTGTCGCCACTTTCATGGGCTCCTGGGAGGCCCAGCGGAGTGGAGTTATAAACGCACCCAGCTCGCGAAGTGCGAAATTGTCGCCACTTTCGCGGGTTCCTGGGAGGCCCAGCGGAGTGGAGTTGTAACAGCACCCAGTCGAGACCTCGCGGCTTCCTGGGTGGCCGCGAAGTGCGCCACAGTTGCCTCGTATCAACGGTTGGGTGTCCACCGTACGCCAACGAAAATGGAAGTGGATATAGAAGCGGAGTGCTACAGGCGCGTGGGAATGGACACGGCATGTGATCCAGTGGAGCCCACAACACGAACCAGTCTACACGGCGAAGCGCAACTTGGACGACCCAAAATCAGATGGGGTGACGACGTAAGGAACCATCTTGGACACGCTTTGGGGCGTGAGGTTGGAATTGTGGGATACGCTGGAGGGAGGTTTCGTCCGACACCACGACTGAGCGGGCCAAGCGGATCGCTTTTTATCTCGTCCTTCTTTTCGTTCTCCTCCTCAAAGATTTGCCATGTTGTGAAGATCGCCACGCTGAGCGGCGCTCCGGCGCCACACCCGCAGCACCCTTGACGGTGCCCACGCGCGGGAGTGTCTTGGTGTCTTAGTGTGTGGGCTCCCAGGAGGCCAAGCGGAGGGGAGTTGTAAACGCGCCCAGTCGAGCCCTCGCGACTCCCTGGGTTGCTGCGATGTGCACAACTGTCGCGACTTTCGTGGGCTCCTGCGGGTCCTTCAACATGTTTGTTTGTACTGATCGGTCTTGTGTATCGTCGCCACATGTGTAGAAAGGTTTGGGTACGTCGCATGGTAATGTTCTGTTCGTTCCTAAGTTTCCTTGGGACTGGCGACGACGATGAAGACGACGACAGCGTCTCACACACGCCGAAGGGTCGGCGGATTTTGTTTCAACACTTGTCGCCTGGAGAACCAGCCAGAACATTCTACAGTATACGTTGTCCTGTGACGTTTCTGCGACGTCCCATGGAACAGGGGCACACCTCAATGTAAATTTGCGCATTTCTCATAAGTGTCCGACCATGGAGCCCTTGTTTGCTAAACGCAACCATCCAGATTTCGCGCCGAAGACCGCCAGAAACCGTCGAAGACCGCAGGAGACCGTCAGAGGAGGGCCGAAATCTGCTCAAGGCCGCTGGGCAACATGTTGTCCGTGCTCGAATACGTTGCCGAGGGCACTCCATCCATGGCTGGGCCACCCCGTGTAAGGCGCGGGCCAAGTCGAGAAGCAGAGCTGGTCGAGCGAGCGCGCCGCCAACACAGCCGTGCGCAGAGGCAGTGGCGCTTCGCGCGCTTCAGTGCGCGCAGCCCGACGTCGGGTGACCCAGGAATCACTGGGCACAAGCGTGCCGTTGCAGAGGGCGGAGGGGCCGCGACGTTTTGACGTGTTATCTTCGCTCGCGCACCTTGCCGAGAGCCTGTGCGTTCTCGGTGCTGTCCTCCACCTGCTGTTCCTCCTTTCCATCCTATTGAACCTCCTCACCCCTCCCAGGTTTCGCAACCCGCTCCGTTATTCCGGTGCCATGTATTCGACCTCCAGTAAGCAGAATGCGCGCCCGATGATGCGGAGTTTACCCTCCCATCTCCCTCCCCTCCCCTCCCCTCCCGTCCCCTCTACCCCCTCCCCCCCCTGCCCTCCCTCCTCCTGCCCTTTCCCCCCCCCTTCCCCCCCATCCCCCCTCTCTGCTCCCTCCCTCCTGCATCCTGCGGCCCTCCACCACATATAAAAGAAAAGCCAGGAACAGACCCCTCGCCCGTCTCTGGCTAGGGGCCTCTATCACGGGCCCGTGCCCGGCCGCCACGGGCCCGGGACTCTCGGACGGCCTTCGGGCCCTCACGATAATGCAGGTTTTTTTTGGGTGGGTGGGTGGGCACATCTCCAAGATCCCCAGAATTCCCAAGACGCGCTGCTGCAGATAGATATTCCAGAATTTATCGAAGACGGGCGAAACTGTATAAACATGCATTTTCGGAGCTCCGTGCGGACCGAGACATTATGTGAATGCATTTTGTTGCTCCTCTAATGTCAGGAACGCCCTGAGCCAATGTGCCTCCTGGAGCTCCGGGGCGGCTTCTCGGGGGCGGAGCGCTGGAAATGCGAGCTCGTGCTCCCCCTCTTGGGGCCTCTCTTGGGCCCGCCTTGGGGCGGGGCCGTCCCGCGGGCCTTCTGGGCCGTCTCGAGGCCACAACGCAGCGCTGTCGTCGCAATGCCGCTGGAGCCGGCGGGCCTGGCACGGGGGCGCCCGCGCCGGCGCGCGGGATTTCGGGGGGGCAACGCCACCACCACCACGGAGGGCCCCTCCAGCGAGGGGGCCCGAGGCGCCTCCCCGAGCCGGGCAGGGGGGGGGGCGACGTCTCGAGCGGGAGGGGGGGAGGGGGGGGCAGCACCACCAGGAGGAGCCCCCCTGGCGCCTCGCGCCTCCTCGGGGGGGGGGGGGCGCGCGGAG